CCCCAAAACCCCAAAACCCCAAAACCCCTTCAATTAAAATTGATAGTAATGTGAAAAAATAGAAAATTATATTGCTTTTATAATCATAAAATGAGAACCATAATTTTTGGAGCAATCTTAATGTGCTTAAGTAATGTCCAACCAATAGATTCTATCAAGAGAAATTCAGAGCATCAACAGTGTTTTATAGATTGTAGAGTTAAAACATTTCTCACTATTAACGAATGCTTTGCTGATTGTAAATCACTTACTACAAAAGAACTAGCCATTCCAATAGATGATAATCAAATTTTATAGCCTGAATCTTAAGTTGAAATTACCAACAAGAATATGATTTTAACTGATTACGGGATGGGGTCTAATAATGGTAATAACAATGATGACTCAGGTTTCCCAATATTATTTTAAGTAGCTTTATCCGATCAAGAACTTTTAATTAGGATCCTTTTGATACCATTTGTTATAGCTGGGGTACTCTTTAGCCTTTTTCAACATAGGCAATACAGATAGAACGATATCGAAAAGCACTTTTGATAAGAATATTTTTAGTTATGTTAGTTATTGGAATTTAATTTTAAATCATAATTAATTCTAATTATTCTACACATATGCAATCTCAGTCAACAGCATATTAATCATTATTCACATTACTCTGAATCTAATGTTTTTACAAACATTTACACCTATTTCATTTTCACTAGCATCATATAGTTTAGTCTCCAATCTAAGTACGTAATTACCTAGAGTAGGCAGAGATATTTGAACAATTTCGATGTGTTCTTTCATTTTATTCTTGATAACTCTTTAAGATTTGATGATAATATTTGACGATTGAGGAATAAAGTATTAAGCGTGATTTTGAATCAAAGTGTAATTGAGGACACAGAAATCAACTTAAGACTAGATAGATTTTTTAGTTTTTGAGAGTGTTAGTCTTACTTTAGCAACATAATCTGAGTCCTTTTTTACCTGAATTTCATCATTTTACAGTCTAGCTGAATCGTCCAATACCAATTGAATATTCATGAATAGCGGCAGAAAGGTCGTGTAGACAAACTTATTTGACTTTGAAATTATTTACTCTAATTAATTTTGCCTATCTTTACTATTTCCTTCATTGACTATTATTATACAAGTACTCTTTTAAATAGATCGAATTGATTTTTGAATAATTGCAAACTAATTATTCATCATCTATTCAATTTCATCATCAATGCATTGACAATCTGATTGCAACTGTTATATTTGAAGGTATTCAAGGATATCCGCTATCAACTAGAAAAATTTGAATAAAAAGAAATGCTTATAGCTTTCATTAGTGCCATCAGCTTGTATTATATCTCTAGATTCAAACAGATCCCTTCCTTCAAATTCGATCTTGTTAAGATAAGCATTTGTGAGAGTCTACAAATTCTGAATGTCGACTAAAAGTGAATCATAATCTTTTATTTAAAGTTAAAGATTCTTAACCAGCTTTAAATAATGATGAAGGACATTTAAATGCAGTGATGGTTAAGATGACTAATTTTAATATTAAGATTGCATTTATTTCAAGATGTTTATTTGCTGATCAATATAATTATCATCTAGTAACGGAAATATTTGGGTAAGCAGGTCAGCCTCCATATTTAGAGTCATCATCTTTAGCATTATGTCCTCTAAGTTTAAGAACTCTTAGAATTACACAATAAAATTCTTCAAGCATAATAATAATGATTTTCTATTGCTTGATGATTAATGATTTTCAATCAAATTTACCAGATATTTTTAGAGAGACAACTTATTAATAGTATCTGATTGGTTATTTTTAAACCAATAAAATAAAACTTTTGAATCTATTAAATCTATTGACTCTTAAAGTAGTGATATAATAGCTTCCTTAAAAGTGAATAATTCTTAAATTTCATTTCTGATCTTCTTGTCTTTATGTTTTCTTTCATTAAGCATTACGTATAATCTTAATTAATTATCAATTTCAATAGCCTCCAAAAAAATCTTGCTATGACTTGTTCTCAATAGAACCTATATATAATACATATCTAGTTTTTTTGCTGTATTACTCTTTAAAATATTATTTAAATCTTATATTAAAAGTCCAAAGTTACAGTTCTACAAAATAATGTCAATTTGTTAATGATAAGCTTTAAGATCTTTCAAATGACCGCTATTGTTGACTATTATCTTTAATAAAAATATCTATTCCTTAGAAACATCAGATTAACTAGCAATAATCTAATTTAGTAACTTATTAATGATATCATCACTAATTATGTATTTTCTTGAAATCAATTCTAATCCCTCTAAGTTTTATATATCCTTTAGGAATAAACTAGCCTTGTTCAATATTATAGGGGATCTATTAACCATTTTTATTAGACTTAGCAAAAGCACACTATCTAGCCCACCTCCATATATATGGTAAGCTTTTTCATATAGAGTTTTTATAATTTCAACAAACTTAATTGCATTTTATGCATCTCCACTGATATTTGATATAGCCATAATGAAATGAGAGCAAGTGTCTCTTGAAAAATTACCACTTAAAACAGTCTCCTCCACCTTATTCATAATGCTCTATGCAAACAGTTCAGAGCCCTCACTAATCATTGTGATGGTTTAATTAGCTACTTCTCTTTCTTAGTTATTCTGAGTTGAGGTAAGTATATGAAGAATTTTATGTTAAATATCTAGTCTGGTTTAGATGAAACTCGGGAGATAGCTGAACAATCTGAGAGATATAATCCTAGATTAGGGATCATTAGACTATAATAGATATGAAACACGAGTAGTGAATTCTTCTTTGTTGTAAACCTTTTCTTCTAAGATCTTATGACACTTAGCTATCAAAGTTTTAACTAAGTGGGATCTGAGTTTATTGGTGGTATCTCTGTGCTTGTAAAAATCAGCGACCTTTAATATCACAGAGTTTATAAAGACTGAGTCTCAGTTTTACTAAATAAGTTGAGTTATTCTTTCAATGGCTTCTATTTTATCATAGAATTTAATTGATTAAAGCTTAGCCTCAATCTGATCAAAGTTACTTATCTAAGAATTTGCAGTAGAAGTGATTGGGACTTGCATTGGAATCATGCTAGAAATACTTTGAGTTTATATCATCATTAATTAATTTATAGGAATATTAATTTTAATTGTCATTAATTCAAAGCATAATAAGGAAAACAGATAAATTAATTCAAGAAGAGCTATTCATTAAAATTTAATTATATTTCAATTCACGATGTCGAAACTGACTGTTATAGAGGATAAAAATGGTAAGCAAATATAAGATTTTTAATTAACTATACATCATTAGCTGATACTGAGCTGAATTACTTTGTATTTGAAACTCATGTGAGAAAACTAATAAGAGACCTGATTGAGCCTACCACGTAGAAAGCCACTGAAGATCGAGAGAATGTAAATGAAGTGAAAAGAATTATGAATAATGTTTCTAAAAGAGTCTACGAATTAGAATATATTATTTACAAGGGTAGTGAAAGAAACACTATTTTTGATGATATATACAACAAAATGAATTAAATGGTAAGATCCTCAATCTCTAATATTTGGTTTAAATTGACTATCTTGTTAGGTTGTTGAGACTAATTTGCTTAATGAAAAGTTGAAAGAGGAATCCTTTAAATTTATGAAAAGACACGAGATTATGGATGACTAACTCAAAGCTATTGAGATAACTTAGAAGACCGTGGTAAGTTGATTAATTCAAAAGCAATTTTTTATGTCTAGGGTGATCAAATAAGAAATTTTCAAAATGATATTGATAAGTTTTATGAAACTTTGCATGAAACAAAGAAGGATTTAACTGAGATTATCTATGACAATAAGTAGCGAGCAGATGCTGATGTTTCTAGCATTAATCAAATAATTATCAGAGTAAGATTTTATTAAACCTATTTATTCAAATACAGATCTAAACAACAATGAAAATAAACCAGCATGAGTTTGAAGCAGCATCTGGAAAAATAACTAAACTTGAGAAAGATAAAGACAGGCACAAAGACAGACTTGAGTAACTTGGAAAAGACATTTTCGAGCTATAAGAAGTCAAGTTGGACAAATAGCAGTTCAATATGGATACAAAGAAAATAGAAGAATAGTTTTCATAGATTGATTACTCCTTAGGAGATTTGAATAACAATATTTTGGGAACTGATAACTACATTGAGAAATATTTACCATTTAAATCCCTGTAGCTGATGGTAGAGAGCATGTCCTAAATTTTAGATAAGAAACAAGTCAAACGATTAACTGACTTTGAGTAAAAGAAATACAAAGAATTACATTAAGGTATATTAGGGGATGATGGGCATCCCAATAATGCAGAAAAAGCTTCATATCTCAAGTTTTTAAACTCTGCTGAGAAAGGATCAAATATAAATCACACTACTACAAATTTGGCTAGACGTGAGAGTACCTTGATTCGTCACAATGAAGAACTTTACAGCAGAGGTGCAGCAGGCTAGCATTCTAATCCTAGCTAATTTTAGAAAATGCAAAGCTCTCAAAGTATCGTTCAGTAGAACTTTACTACTGGCAATTAAATCAAGTAAACTACAATTTAGTTCAATTCAAACACTAAACTTAATATTCTTGTTGAGAACGGATAAAGCCAAGGAGATTCAAAAAATTCAATAGAGTCAAAAGATGAATAGATTAACTCAGATCTTAATGGAAAGCAAATTTCTGTGATTGAGTTTGATAATGAAAGAGTCTAAAGAATCAAGCCTACTGGATTGAATAGAAATTAATAAATTCATGCACTTGCATCTCAAGACACTTACTTATCTTTAAAATCTCCATCAAATGAGCATAATCTTCAATAAATCAGTCCTAGAGAAGGCTCAGTTGCATTAAGATAGAACACATCATAGAATCAGATTGGAATGAGTCTTATCGGGATGAATGATCTAGATCCCATTCTACAAAATAAAATTAGAACTTATGATGAAGATTTTATCGAGCTGAAATAAGAACTTGAAAGTGTAAAAAAGCTAATCCTCGATGTTAAAGGCTTAAACAGAGCTGATATAGATAAAGAATTCAAAAGAGTTAGAGATGAGTTGAAGTAAGCCTCTAAAGAAATTCTTTCTTACTGCGAGGCTTTTTAGACAGAATTTGAGAATGAGTAAGATTTTAGAAAGAAGGACAAGATAAACTGGCAATTGGAGATAGATAATCTAAACAAAGAAGTCCAGAGAATAAACTCATACTGTGTTGAAAAGCTATTTAAGCCGTTAAATAATCTCTAAGATATGGCTGTAGTGATTATGGAAAACTCTCTAATAGAATAAGCTATTTCTCTCCACACACTACTTTATTGTGATCCAGCATTTTAATAGACACTCAATGCTCAACAAGAGATAATTAATAACAATCTCTAAGTAAATCCTAGCTCAAGCATGCTAAATATACCAACTTAGCATAATATAATTGAAAAATAATACGATTATGAAATCTAACTTCCAGGATAACACTTATTAAAATAAACTCATTTAAATTAGCTTCCAGTAAAGAATTATGAGCTATCAACTGGTCTTAATACTCCAGCCTAATAGTCAGATTATATAGGTATTCATAATATCGGGTCAGCAAGAAGGTAGGATGTGGCTAAAACAGCTTATTAATAACATAGGAAATTGTTAAGCTCTAGTTAAGTTTCTATGACTGCTAAAGGAAGCAAACAGACTAACTCCCTTTACTAATTAAGAGCAGAGACTCCACAGCTTTTCTAAGTTGGAGCGCAAACTCAAAGCACTTTTATCAAAAGAAAATGTAAGATTTATTAACTAAATTATCAATATTAATAGAAAGCAAAGCGCCATTCACTAACTATCATTCAAACTAAAGTTCATCTTCAAATCTCTTTACAAATCCCAATGGTTCAGTCATTGCTGGATCAACTTTTGCAAGTTCAAATAATTAAAAGCAGATTTAATTTGATGAAATGCCACTATAATATAGAAAAAAATTATTCAGAAGAGATTAATTAATCATGGTTAGAGGATATCTATTATAGTAGGCTTGGAATATGTACAGCTAATCAATAACCGATCAGAATGTCAAAGCAAATAATGTCTAGCTCACCAGTCAATTATTTAAGCAAGCTTTGAAAGAACTTCAAATTGATCCTATGAAAGCAGGACAAAATAGAGTATCTAATAAGCAGAGTATGAATAGATTGAAAGACATCAATTCTTAATATGAAACTTAAAATCACTAGAAATCTGTTAGCCAAACTGGATATTCTTTAGGATAGCCTACAAATCAAAATGGTAATTCAGGAATGGCAATATTTGGATTAAACCCAACAAACCATTAGAATAGACCTCATAATGATAATTTTAGTCCATTACAAACTCCTGCTTATTAAGACTAATAAGTGTAATAAAATTTTGCAAATGATGCTTAGAAATTAAATTAGAATTCCTTAATTGCCTAATGAATAGTAATGGAATTCTTCTTAATCCAAAGATGATTATGAATACTAACCAAATTGAATTTAATCTTGATTCCATAAATATTATTTCCCAAACTAATATAAATTTCTTTGAAGGGGTTTTGGGGTTTTGGGGTTTTGGGG